CGTTGGCTGAGAGCTCGGTGCTGTTGCCGCCACTGCGGCAAAACTCAGCCTTCCCGAGGACCGAATCCTCTCATTTTTATCCTTTTTATTTTTAAGCGAGACATGCCCCAGTCACCTTTCCCCCCTCCGTTTGTAACGTGCGTATTGGAGCAGCTTCTCAAGTGAGCCCCCGCACCCCGGTCCCTCTTCCCTCTATGGGATGCATCACCATCCCCTTTGATCTCAAAGAAGGCACGGTGGGGAGGCATGCTCCTGATGGAGGGAGCCATGCGTCAGGCTGATGAAAGCAGCACACAAGAAATCTCACCCTTACGCTGCTGCCAGCCTCGTTGGGAGGACTGGAAAATATCTCCACAAGCAAGGGCTCCAGTCCCAGCACTTGGGACTAGTGGGTCACCCTGCTGAGGAGCAGCCAGCCTGGCTGAAGGCACCATGCTCCATGTGGAGCAGAAGAATGGAACGCTGCGGTGGGTCCACAGAACCTGCCCTGACACGCGGAAACATTTCAGAAGTCAAACAAGAAGACCAGGATCCCCGCTGCTGAGGCCCGATCTGGGGTTGCAGAGTATCTGTGGAAGGATCCTGCAGCTGATGCGAAGAGGCATGGATTTGGCTGAGTTTCCTGCAGAATCCAAGAAATGGAGCCCAGTCAAATGTATAGGTGGATAAACACCACAAATGTTAAAAAGAAAAAAAAAAAGATAAAGAAAAAACAGCGCAGGAAGTCATCAACTTTGCTCATCACAATTTGAAATTCCAGTAGAAAAGGTGTTGATGTTTCAGAACTCGGAAGACTTCGAAAGGCTCAATCTGTCACTAGAGCAGAAAACGCCAACTCAATCATCGCTGCCTTTCCTTTTGCCATGGAAGCTCCTTCCAACTTGGCTGGCCTTGGCCTTGCAGGATAGCGGGAGCCAAGGAGCCTTCCCTTTTCTCACAGGGTCCAGGGGACTGAGCCAAGCCAGGAGGGAGAGGGCTTTTTTGTCTTCCTAAGACATTTGGTTTTCAGTTTTGCGAAACCTCAAGAATTTAAAAAAATAGCTAATGAAGTTCACAAAACCTCAAATTCTACTGAGTTTACTCATTCCTCCTACTATATTAAGACTTAGTCTTTATATCTATATATGTAGCTGTATGGTGTGTTTTCCACAAGACTTTGAACAGCACTGGCACAACTCTCGTCAGGAAGCTGCTCTGGGTTTACAGTTGGAGAAGAGAGGGCAGCAAAGTGTTTAGGAGACCTAGAAGGTATCTTTGAGATAGTGCAGTTTACTATTGGTACATTCATATACGAACACTTTTTACAGTGGAAATTTTTAAGTCAGTAAAAGGACAGTGCAAAGTAAAGAGACAAATTTTATCGTGATTGCTTTTAACCAGCTACCTCATAACAAAACTCTTCTTTCCATCTCTGTGGGTATTGCAGGAATGAAGGATTGATAGCATATTGTTTCAAGCTGAGTGATTTACATATAGGACGGTGCCCTTTGAGAAGACAGATTTGGTTCTATTCTTTCCACGACTGTGAAAATGCTCGCTGCTGACTTTCCCCTGGCCACCTTGGAAGAGGTAAACATCCTCTTCTTTCCAAGATTCCTGACGGAAAGGCTCACAGGAACGAATGCGCACTCTGCTTTCCCCAGCTAGCCAACGTACACACGCAAACATTGGAATTACGTTCATGTTTCTCAATCTACCTGCTTTTTTAGTACAAGGTGAAAGTGAGCAATGGTAATTAGGGAGATAATAAAGTCAGATTTACTAACATTTAGGAACACTAGTGAGGTAACAGTAGTTCTCATGCTAATGGTTTTCTGTAGTGTTTTACCTTTCATTGTGTTTTGCTTCAGACTGGCACATCAGGCATGAGCACAGGTCCTTAACTTCTCATTTCTTTGTGCACCTCCCTTTGCCTTTTTCAGTGTACTGTTTGGGTTTTTGCTTTTTTTCCCTTCTGCACCAGCCCTAGGGGACTTCCATGTTGGATCATGTGAGCATCGTGCAAGGTAACAGGTATTACTGGAAATCACTGGGGAACGGCAGGATTCTGGTATGGCACTATCTCAGAAAGAACTGTGTCTTGATGGATCTCCACCAAATAATCCTTGGGTTTGCCTAGGAGTTTATCACTGACGTTCTGACTTAGCTTAGCTTGGGGCAAGGCTTGACCTCTCCTACATTAGAAGAAATCCCACTAAAGAAGTGGAATATGTTATACATACTAGAAATTTTTTTTTACTGCTTTTCTGATTAAATTGAAGCTACTGTGGCATGATGCCAGAAGGCAAATTCCATGAGTTTTGCTGGGTGAAATCCTGCTCGACTTTTTTTTTTCTTTTCTCCTAAAAGCATCCCCACTAATTGAAATGGCTCTAATTGCACGAATATGATGAGGAGTCCTGCAGGTCTTATCCTGCAGTCCTGGGTGTTCACCTGATGCTGATAAACATTCTTTCTGAAATGCTGTCCCACAGGCATGAAGAATTTTTCATTTTTTTCTTCCTGTGGTGAGGTTTGATTTTTATAATTCACTATATCGGGATTCCAAAACTGAAGCAGATGATTTCAGATTAGCATGTGACTCAGCCGTTCAGTTTTTTGAATGAGCTTGCAGTGATAGGGAGAGAGACCTGGGTGGTTCCTCAGACAACATGTTGTAAGTACTCCAGCTAAATACAGATTCTGAATACTGGAATAGATTACACAAGGGACACTGAATGCATTTATGATGAGAGAGAAAGTTATTTTTGACAAAGCTTTATGTATGCTTTAGTTTAAGTTCTGGTGCATAAGAAGTCAGAAAAAAATCAACATCATAATCAGGTACGTAGTTTTCCATTCTTTGATTCAGAGGGAGAAGTATTTTATTTCCAACCTTCCTTAAATAATTTCCAGGTATAAAATGTATCCAGATACAAACGCTAACGCATTCTGTCAGAACAAATGGCCGTGGGCTGTACAAGTACCAGCTAGTATACTTTTACAATAATCTTGTCAAAGAGGGAAATCTTGCTACCACCCGTTTACAAACCTCGTCTTTAC